GGGCGCCATCTTTGGCTGGCTCAGCCGTGCTTGCTTCCCACAGTTTTGTAGTTTTCTTTGCTGCCGATTTCTAGTTTTATTGCACTATGATCTGATGAGATATGAGATTATTTTCACTCTTTTGCATTTGGTAATACTTGGTTTTTTCTCAGTGAGTATTTGTCTAAAATACAACTTGTGCTATGAGTGTGTTGAACTTGTCTAAGTACTCTAGAGATAAGAACTGGGCCAGTGGTCAGCCGAGCTGGGATTCATTATCTGCCTCTCATACTCACTACTTGTCTTCAAATTCCTTTTTTGGATTCTAATATACAATCTCAGGATTATAACACATGCAGAGTTTAGTTCAAAGATTTAATATGAGATTTGAATAAACCAGTACATTTTCAGTGTAAAACTACAAGCACAGACATAATAATAAGTTCTGTTCCCATGCTGTCCTGACTCCTTAAGAAGCTTTTATTCCAGACTTAAGATCCTAGGAGCTTGTACACTCATAGATTTAATTATTCTTCTCTGATGTTCAAGTATCTGTTCATTTTGCAGATCTAGGTGAGGATATGCTTTATTGGTCTTGCTTTTATTTTTCACTCTGGTAAGTGTCTAGATTTAGGATAAAGTCCTAAAATGTAGTAGGTCCTCATCTGTAATTAAAGTACATGTCCTTGTAAAATTATTTTGCCAAGGCTTTTGATTGCTAGCTCATTCCCAGCAAGGATATTATATTCTAGATAATGTGATTTATAATACAGAAAACACTCTAACCAGCTTTGTGTTAGATGCTTTACACTACATGGCATTTAGTGCTTACAGCAATTGTACCAATATATAATAGTATTCATGCATTCCATTCGTGGGCACCAGAGACAAAGTTGTTAGTAAACTTGACAAATTCACTTAACTACTATGTCTTGGGGGCTATGATCAAATTAAAGTATTTTAAAAATTTTTATTGATTCAGGTGGGTGTGATGTCACAAGCCTTTAATCCCAGCACTCAGGATCAGAGGCAGGCAGATCTCTGAATTCAAGGCCAGCCTGGTCTACACAGTGAGTTCCAGGAAAGCTGGAGCTACAAGGAGACCCGGTCTCAAAGAACACTGAAAAAAAATTTTTTTTATTGATTCAAGAATTTCATACAAGAAATGCTTGGGTTTCCTCATCAATTATTCACAACCCACTACATGCAGGCTCCACTTTAGCTATTTCAAGGATACGCTCAGCACAATCACCTCACTGTGGCTCAAGGCATTTTTCCAACAGGTTGATACCCCACAGGGTTTTACTGTAGGTGGAAGTAAAAGCTAGTTCTTCACAGCAGGTAGGAGTTAGCTCAAGGCCTCCAGCCAAGATTCTCTAAGAGGCAGTTGGAATGTTTCACAGCCTCATACAACAACTTTACAGCAGTGTACTCTAGCTTCTTTTCTGAAATCTATAGACTTCTGTGGATCCTATTTCTGCTGAGGACTGCAGCCAGGTCTTGACAGCCACTGGATGATGCTGCTGGCATGGCTGACCATCAGTGCACTGTGCAGTTCCACTTACAGGCCTAGCTCCCTTGCAGCAGGGGTGTGGCACAGTGGGGTGGTCACTACCGCCTTTCGGCTATGCCAGCTGACTAGCCCCCTGCTGGGGCCAAGCAACCTGGTGACCCATGGGTATGGGCAGTGGGTAACAAGTCTGGCAGAGCTCTGCCCTCAGGAGGGTAGGCAGCCAGGCCCAATTTTCATGGTCAAGGATCCAGTTGACTTCTTTGGTGTCTGCTCTTTTAGAATCTTCCTCCAAGGCCAGGGTGAGCAAGTGATAAAACATCTTCTTACCAGAGTCATGCTTTAAGTCCTTGTGCCAAAAGCCACTAGTGCCACTACCATTGCTCCAGCATCCACAGCACCAAAGGTCTGAAATATTCATCCTGTGTGATAAGGTTCCTCACAAGGTTCAGCACATGCACTCTTGGGAGCACACCCCAGGCTGGAGGTTGACTGCCCAAGACTTGCCTCAATCTACTACTACCTTTCTTCAGAAACTCCCTTACAACTTTTAAATGCTGTTTCTTGATTTTTTTTTCACATCTTAACTATAAAATTTAATGAAGTGGTTCTCTCCATCCATGTTTATTTGGTTTCAAAATGCATCTGTGCTTGAATGTATATTTCTTTAGCTAGAGATGAGGAATTTTCTCTTGTAATTTCATAGAATAGATACTCTTCTGCTACTAGTGTTTATGTGTGTTCCTATCCCATGGATTCTTAGATTTGGTCTCTTGCTCATATCCCAGAGTTCTTGGATATTGTGGTCTTGCTTTATTATTTACATATTTTTTGCTGATGTTTGAATGTAGTATATCATGAATTTTTTCCTCCACCTCGAATATTCTTTATTCTTTCTTTTGCTTGATTGATTCTACTGGTAATGGTTTCCACTGTGTTTTTTATTTGATTCACTGGGTTTTTCATTTCCAACATTATTATTTGTTTGTTTCTTAGAATACCACGTTCCTTGCTGGATTTTTCTCCTATGTTGCTGATGTTTTCATTCATATTGCTGATTTCCCATCCATTTTGCTGACTTTTTCCTCTGTTTTTGATGTTTCTCCTCAGGTCTTGGATTGAATTCCTGTGCTTATTTGTATTCTTTTTCCAATCATTGGTTGGTGGTTTTTGTTTTTGTTAAAACAAAATCTTTTGAAAACTTTATCTGGTACTTTACCTATTTCAGTTTCTTTGGGTTCAATGGAGAAGTTAAGATCTTTAAGAGAAGTCACATTGCCTTGCTAAAAAGGCATTTTTCTTGCACTTCTCTGTTGCAACTTATGCATTTGTTGGTGTGGATAGCTCTTGCAGATGTTTGTTTGTTTGCTGTTATCTTAGTGGACAATTATGAGTAGCTTGCTCTTGAAGGCCCAATCCTCAGTACTCTCCAGCAAGGATAAAACTAAGTGCTCTAGCAGCAACATCAAACCATATAAGATACAGACATACACTGAAAATGAACTGCAGCCTACTAATACATCACATTTAATACATAATTAAACAAAAATTGAAATTAAAAAGCTATTATAGAATGTGTTATGAAGTTAAAAATCATTCAGGATAAGTGTGGAAATAGAAAATAAACAAGATGAAGGAAGAAGGCAGAGAATAGGGAGAAAAAAAATCACAGAAACAAGGTTAAGTAAATGAAGGCAGAAAGGGAATGGCAATTGATATTATATACAGGAAAAGATCAATGAATTAGAAAAACATTTTTAAAAGGAAAATGAAAATTTTTCACAATAGTCAAAAATTCATAAACAAAGTTAGTTACAAAAATTAGATAAATGTAAGGTGGGGATATAAAAATAAAACATGTAGCCAGGCATGTTGGCACATAGCTTTAGTCCCAGCACTCAGGAGGCAGAGGCAGATGCAGAAGTAGAGGCAGAGGCAGGTGGATCTCTGTGGGATCAAGGCAAGCCTGGTCTACATAGAGAGTTCCAGGCCAGCCAGGGCCACACAGTGATGCCCTGTCCCAAACAAAACAACCAAAACAAAACAAAAAACATATTATAAAAGCAATGTGGTAAAGTCAAAATACTATTACATATTGGGGATAGAAAACATGGGACGAAAAGATAAAAAGAAACTATAGAAAAGAGAAATATTGTCCCTAAAAATGAAAAATTATGTAAACAAAATTAAATGAATATATGACAGAAAATAACAAATAAAAAGCAACTTTAAGAAAATATAATAAAGTAGAGCTGGAGATGGCTCAGTGGTTAAGCACACTGGCTGCTCTTGCAGAGGACCTGGGTTTGATTCTCAGCACCCACATGGTGGTTAAGAACCGTCTGTAACTCCAGTTCCAGGGGAATCTGATGTCCTCATCTGACCTCTGTGCGCATTGTATGGCATAGCTGCACTTACATTCATGCAGGTAATGCACTCATGAACATAGAATTAAACATAAAAAATAAAATACTAAAAAATAATAAAACTAACTTGTGATCCTCCTGCGCCTGCCTCTTCAGCATGCCCTTACAGACTTGCACCACCACAAGTGATTAGTTTTGAATCTTTAGGTACGTATATTTCCATTGGAAATCCATAAAGGTCAAGAAATTAGTAAGGTGCCATGTGGGGGTGGGAGGACTTAATGAGAGGAGTGATAAAATACAGAGCTATGAAGAGGGAAGGAGAATAATGGGATAGAAAGAATTAATGAGGATAGTCATGGGTGAGCAGGGCAAAAGACAGCATATGGGGAGGTCTAGCTAACTCTAAAGGTCTTTTAAAAAGTCATAGGGAAACCTAGCACTACAGGAGCTTCTTAAAATATATACATAAACATTAATGAAAGAGTTTAAATGGAGTTACCCTATAACTGGGGGACAGTTTTCATACCAGATATGAAAGGCTAGAAAAATAATAGCCCAATGGCAGGAATGGACTCCCTCTTTTGGTATTGTTGACCAGGAGATCGCAAGAGAAAAGTAATCATCACCCTTGTCCAGTTGTGAACACCACAAACTACAATAATGACTGGCCTGACAAGATCTGCCTACTGGTGAAATGTGGCACAAATGTTATGGGAGTAACCAACCAATTTCTAATCGTATTTAAGGCCCACTTCACAAGATGGAACCCATGCATAGCACTGTTATCAGGGGCAAGAAGCTGTAGCTAGAAAGGTCACTGTTTATAGGGGAGAATTCTGCCAAGTGGCCACATTATCTTCTTTGTAGTCTAATTGTAGAGTCAATGGGAATAGCACTGACTTGATCTATCTATCCTTCTATTTCCCATCTATATAATCTCCTTCTAATGTCATTGGTTGAGGACTCTCTTCTTAATATGTCTTTTTGTATCCATAACTTTAAGTATTGATGATGATATTATAAAGGATATTTCTCAGAAATAAGAGTCTGGTTTTACATATAAAAATTAAATAGCTACAGACTGGAAAAGGAAAACTAACTGGCAAGTTCTAATACTGTTGTGTTGTTTATTGTTTCTTCAGGAATGCCTCTTCAAGAGTCAAGCGCCCCTATAGCATTCTGCAGGAATGGTGGGACCTGGCAAAATGGCAGATGCATTTGTACAGAAGAGTGGAAAGGACTGAGATGCACTATTGGTAAGTTACTTGGGCTGATACCAGGATGAGGTTTAGGTAACCCTTGTGTTAGTAACAGTAAAAATTCAGGAAGCTTTGGTTAATGATCACAAAAACGATAGACGTAATGTTGGTAGCACCAAGATGTGCACTCAAACTCATTGCAGCTCTGTGGTCTGCACAAGACTTCTGTAAGACTGGCCTGTTCACATTTCATCATTGATGGGGGAGGCCCCTATGTTCCATCTCTCTCTGAGAGACTATTGGCAGTTAACTATTATTAGAGGAGGAGGCATGGTTTGTTTCTGTGGTGTAGCCATTGAAAAATTACTCTTGCTCCAGTAAATAACCTCCCACTCAGTGGGTCAAACATACAAAGAAAAGATGAAAGTAGTAGTAAGCTTGTTGGGAAGAAGAGTTTTAGAGGGATAACCGTGGATAAGGGAGGGAAATGAGGGATGAAAATGCATAAAAATTCACTATATAATTGTGTGAAACTGTCAAACAATAAGAAAAAATGTAAATATATATGAAAAATTAGTGTAAATACTTTATAATCAAGATATTTTGTTTCCCACCTGACAAATTTCTCTATAAATTCACAGGTATGTTTACTTTTGGCTCCAGTGTTTAATCCAGAGCAACCAGAATATGGTTTCCTGGGTTTTTTCTAAAATGTCAGAATTTTGGCATATTTAATTTTTGTGTGGGATGAATTTTCCTAAGTATTTAATATGTGTTCATGATGTTGCCTTTCTTTTTCCTTAAAGAGTTATTAAATTTATGGTTTGTCTTCAATAAATGATGTGTTAGAGTCCCTTTTCAGGCTCTTTCTTGATCAATGTATACTTCCCCCAATCTTTACTTATCATTCTTCCTGTTTATAGTACAGAACCCCTCCATCTACTCCCATAAACTGTCTATATTCCTACTAGCCAGTACATCCTACCCACCATGATTTTAGCCTTTTTGCCTTGAACCACATCCTTATGAACCCGCTGACCCTGTAGGTTTTATTTCTTAATTCTCTAGATTCTAACTAATCTGATGTACAATTCTTGCTGGTGTGTTTCTGGTGTGCCTTTTGACTGGAATCTGTTATCGAGTATATTATATTACTTATTCTAATGGCAGTAATCTAGCCACATACAAGGGTGTAGAAGCTCCTGTATAGGCCAGTTGAGTCTGTAAATCTTTAAATTACATTGCAAAAGTTCTGAACTCAATCTTTTATTTGGTTTCAAGTTTCAAAAAGAAAAATAATATAATTCATAATAAAAGAAATCTGTTTCCATTACAGCTAATTTTTGTGAAAATAGTACCTTCATGAGCTTTACTTTTGCCAGAATTCCAGTGGGCAGATATGGACCATCTTTGCAAACATGTGGTAGCAACACTCCAAACGGTATGTGTTTCCCAGAAAACTTCTCTGTTCCTCCAATTACTGTTAGGTCCCTGGACAATATAACAAGGAATGACTTGGTTCCCTTTTATGTCAGTGTTCAAAGTTTATGACAGAATTTCAATTAATCATAATTTTCTTAAAAACCCTAATATGAATCAGTTGTTTGTGAATTCCTAATCCTTACTTAATTGGCCAATTTTTCCAGTTTACTCTATCCCCTAGCATTTGTTCAGGTGAATGTTTGTTCTTTGGGTTGTACAATTTGTCCAAAAATTTTTAAATGGTCAATATTATAGATCCCTTCCACGCCTTCTTTCAGACTACATCTTTCCAAATAAAAATGAAATGGAGTAAGTCTATTGTCAGTAGTCTTTTATTTCATTGGTTATTTTAGTTATTTGTCTAGTCTCCCTGGACCTTTCATGACCTTGACAACCCTACTTGCATTGAGGCATTCCAAGAGTCAATGGGAATAATATTTTCTGTTTCTAGTACATTTCCTGACAATATGCAGGATGTTGATAATTTATTTTAATAAGACGTTGGGTGATATCTTCTGAGGGCAGACCTTAGAAATTCATAGAACTCTTTCCAGTAGCTACAGTTCATTTTGTCATATAATTTTCTCTAATGTTTTACTTGTCACTTGTTTGCATAACTTTCATCTTACTTCTACAGTCAACACCCAGTTTTTACAGAACTGAGTATCTTAAGAATATAGACAGTTATAGATCATTTTTAAAAAGAAAGAAAAAAATTATATTCTTGACAGGGTATCGTTTAAGTAAAATCTAAATATTACCCTTAAAAAAGTTTGGTAGAACTGTTGTCAGTAATAAGCCTGAAGAGAATTTTACATTGTATTTAGCTAGGCACATTTATGTATATCCAGTGACTCTGAAATTCTAAATAAATTACATGAATTGCTCTTTCCTATATCTTCTTTACTTTGTTTATTCAATGGGATTACTCAAGTAACCAGATCCTTCAAGTCTCTTAATTTATATCTCAGAAAGTAAAAAGGAGGCTTACATCATTATTGTGCTCAATATGCATACTTTCTGTTCCACACTATACTGTGTAGTGTGCCTATGGATGCCTGTTGTTTTCATTCTGCATGCTGTGTACAACCTAAATATTTCACACATTTTACAAAAAATGTACAAAACAACTGTGTGCTATGAATTGGAAAAAGTGTCAATAGTATATTCATGAAGATCATCACACTTGTTTGATATAATACGTTTGGGAGACAAGACAATCACAGTACTATATTTTATCTCATTATTTATTTGTTTTTGAGAGACTATTATGAAAATATTTATTATACCTCCCTTTGAATTTCAGATTGAGTCCAAATCATTTTTAAAAATATATTCCAACTTTTGCAAATTTACTTTTAATTCTATATATTTTTTTCTTTTTTTCTTTCTTTCTTTTTTTTTTTTTTTTTTTTTTTTTTTTTTGTCTCCTTGTAGCCTCAGCTGGCCTGGAACTCACTATGTAGAATGGGCTGGACTAGATCTCACAAAGATCAGCCTGCCTATCTGCCCCCTGAGTGCTGGGATCAAAGCGTGCACCACCACACCTGGCAAGAATTATTTCTAACTGTTCAATCTTATGTAGCAAATAATTACAATAAATTTCAATAATTGTTGTATAAGGATAGTCATAAGTGAAGGAAACATTGTGGAAGAGGCACATTTCATACATAGTCACTTTAAAAGTTACATATCTTGTATATGTCTGAGGACTTTTCACTGTCATGGCATAGAAGTGGAGTCATCATATAAATTAATGAGGACACCAGCCTTGCACTTAAAATATTGTTAAAGCAAAATCTAAATCCAATACTTTTAGCCATTGCTCAAGAAGCAGCTACTTAATCCTGATTCTGAGGGAAAAAATTCACCTCTGATCAGCTGCCCTTCTAATTATGGTTTTATCTGTGGAAGCTACTTAATTATTAGCTGTTGGAGGACAGTGAGGTGGAAAGTTCAGGTGATAAACTAGGGGACTAAAATGGACCAAAGAAACATTTATTGAGAGAAAATAAAACATTTGTTAGTTGCTGCAATACAGCAGAACTCATTGTTTCAGGGATTATCCAGATTTGGATAAAGACTAGAAGATCAACATATAATTTAGTAGCTAGTTGGAATCTTTCATATTGATTTTTGTCTCAGCTTAGTATGCCCTTACAATATCCATTTCAAAGCCATTTCATTTTTACATGTTGGAAAGTAAATCTTGGTTGGGGACAAAAAAGGAAGGAAATAGGAATTGATCTTTTAAACTCCAGATTTAAAAATCAAGACAACTACTATCAGCCAAAAATATTATAGTAACTGATTCACTTTTCTATTGCTATGTTTACAAACATTTCCAAAGTCCTGCCCTAAAATAACAATGCTTTAGGTTTCTCACATTTCTGTGTGCTAAATGTCAGCTAGGATGTGCTAGAAGATCCAAAATGCTCACTCATCTGGGGCCACAGATGCTGGCAACTAGATAGAGCACCACAATTTGAGCCACAAGGTTTGTCTTCCAGTAGGTGAGACCCACTTCCTTACATGATGTTTCAAGACAACACTCTGGAAGGGTGAAGACAAACTTAGAGGCTTTTTGAGGCCCAGGCTCTGGAATATATATCTCGACTATATTAATTAAGGTCAGTCACAGGTCAGCCCAGACTCAGGAGTGAATAGAGGTCACCTCTAGTGGGAGGAGCAGCAGAGCCACACTAAAGTCACACTGGTATGGATCATATGGATATGTGATCATGTGTTTGTCTTTATAAACCTTTTTTCATGCCTACATTTTCTTTTTTATTAAAGCGGGCAATCCAATAGCAATCCGGCTATGCAATGTTACTCAGTATGGAGAGATAGAGTTACAAAATGCAACAATAGGAAATTGCAATGCAAATCTACATACACTGGAGACTCAGGTATGCCTCTGGTCCATCTGATGGGCAAGCAGAAGATCTGAATGTAAATTCTTTGTTTTCCAGATACCTGATGGTCAAATCAATGCTTTTAAAACTTTCTTATTCCTATTTTTCCCCCATTAAACTTCATTGTATATATATTATGTAACCTGCTTCAAGTTATTACTGGAAAAAATGTGTTAAAAATTGCCTTTCTTTGGAATAATACTAATATTCTAAAATTTTAAAAACCCTCAAATTATAAATAACAAAACCAGTAAGGAAAACAAACTTTTTGTGTGCTTGTTTGTTTAAAGTTTACATCTGTTTAATGTTGTCATTTTGTTTCGGTATATTTCAGCAAATGATAGCCTTGAAAATATTTTAAATAGCCTGATCTTCAGAGACCACTAAAGTTTTATCTAAAAATAGACTCCTGGCTTTGGAAACTAGAGGGAGGTCCTTTGTTAGTCTACTTTATGAAATGAATAGGAAAAGCTGTGAACAATGAAACTCAGACACAGAAGACTCCACACATGATACTGGTCTCAGGGCTATATCTATGAGGGCAATAAAAAGGCTGTCTGGCTGGATATTTTCCATGCATATTACATTATTTTGACTAAGGATGTAGGTAACTGACAGCACATGGAAGGACAAACCTCTGTGACCATGCAAGGAGAGAAATGATTTTTTTGTATATTTTAATTAAATTTTTGTGTATTTCATACAAAATATCTTAATCATCTTTATACCCCATCTTCCATCCATATCCTCCTACAGGCCCCTTCACCCAATTTCATGCAATCTATCATTTATGTTAAGGCCTACTGAATCAAGTTTGTATATCTGCACATCCCCTCAATGCAAATTCATCCACTGGGGTCAGGTCAGCCTATCTAGCATCACTCCCTTAAAGGTCAACTCTCTCTCACCCAGCAGTAATCAGCTGCTGATAGTTCTTTGGCTAAGATTGGGGCCTGCTGCCCATTGCCCCAGTTTTATGCTGGGTTTTTGTCTGCTTGAGTTTGCATGGGTCTTGTGCATTCTGACACTATTGCTGTAGGTTCATATGAGCAAAGTCCCATGTGCCCATGGAAAGACTTTCTTTCCTTATGGTCATGCATCTCCTCCCCTGACTCTTAGAGCTTTCTGCCCCCTCTTCTGCAATGGTCCTAATCCCTGGGTGGGTGAGTTTAATATAGTAGTCCTGTCCAGGGACCCACATTCTGAAGACTGTATTCTCTACACTTTGGTTATTTCTGGCCTTTTGTGTTCATTGCCCTCTATTGCATGAGGGAGCTTCATTAATGAGTGTTGAGAGATGTACTACCTTTATGTACCTTTATGTGCAGGCATGTTGCATCTATCTTACTTAATCTTTATCCAATTTTTATGAGTTGGCTGCAACTTCCATATGAAAGACAGAGTTAGGAACACCAATTAGTGAGCACTTATTGCTACCACATATAGATGCTCACAGACTTAGGATGGGGTTAAGACCTAATAAATTTACCATAAGTTGAATATGCATTGAATCCCCCTAATCCACCCAACATCATAGTTGACCAACATAATATATTATAAAGTTATCAGTTGTTTATTCTCATCATGTGTCAATGACTAGGTGCTGTGGTGTGCTGTTGCTGTATAGCATCATGAAAGGATGGCATAACTGTATAGCATTAGCCTGGGGAAAGACCAAAACAAAAAAATTGATGTATGTATAGTACTGAACACATACCACTTCTGCTCCACTGTAACATCAAAAAAACATAAACTATGGTAAATAGGGGATTTGCCTGTAACATTTAGAACATTTTACATATGCTATTAATTTTTTAAAAATAATACTTAATTTTAAACAGCACCTATGAATATTAATGTAACCATTTTATAAATGAGGAATAATAAGGCTTTGAGGAGGGAAGTTTTGGCTAGGGACCATCTCCAAATAGTGACAGAGCTACTGTTGAATTTAAAATCCACAGTGTACCTCACTGACTGCCTAACCTCAAATGGGAAGGGTGTAGCTGGGTTGGAAATGGGAATCCGGGTGTGCAGGTAGCTATCAATTACAGACACTAGAAGATGGCATCTTGTAGAATCTGCGTACCCTGTATTTGACTCTTCACTGCAGCAGACAAGCTGTGTGAACTCTGGGTAAGCATCTTAAACTCTTTAAGTCTTTAAGTGATAGAAAGGAGTTCAGTTCACAAATCCATTTCCTGTTATGCATGATCACACTTTAAAAGACCTAACAAAGTTCCTGGCACAAAGCAGAGACCTAGCTATTGAATAAAACAGTAATTTGTTTAGTCTGCTGATAGAATTTGGTTTCTGATCTTTCGCAGCAAAAGTACCGATTTGATTTTTGAAGTGATGGCGCCACCTAGTGTATAACTATGTTCACCTCACCCACATGCCTTACCAGCTACAGAATGACAGTACTGCTTAGCATCTTTCAGAGCCCAGGTGCAAATGGTACCTGGAAAACTGTCTAGGTCAGTGCTTCCTAAATCGTCTGTGATGAAAAGCTCATTAAAAAAAAAGATTCAAACTAATTGCTGACTACTATTTTTGTAAAATGCAATCAAAATGAACAAAGTATAGTGACACACATATATGAAGATGCCATGATGAAATCCATTACTTTGTACAATGATGTAAAAATTAATCACCTACAGTTGTTTGCAAAATGTTTAGATACACTTGTTTAAGTTTTCTTTTTTAAAAAAACTTTTAAATAGATAGAAGACATCAAGAACAAATCTAACAATATTTCTACGGAAGCCCAGATTTTAACAGCTGATGCCAGTAAATTAACTGCTGAGAACATCAGTTCTGCTACTATAGTGGTTGGACAGATCTTCAATGAAACCAGAAATGCTACACCTGAGGTAAAACTCAAGGTTTAAAAATATGGAGTCTGGGAATGTAGCTTATTGACAGTGTTTGATTAGCATGTGCAAGACCTTAGGTTCAGTCCCAACAACCCAGAAAGGAAATGACATCCAAAGTTCTATTCTTTATCCTATGATTCTGGTATGGTTTAGAGTTGTTAAGACAATTGTGCAGAACACACTTTCTGGGTGATGTGCAAAGGGCTCTTTGTCTAAATATCCTCTTTTGGAATGGACAACATGATCATTATTATGCTAAACCTTCCAGAACATTCTGAAATGCACAAGTATCTTTTGCTTTATTATATGCAGTTTAACAACTGAAATTGAAAAAGGGCTCTTTGTCTAAATATCCTCTTTTGGAATGGACAACATGATCATTATTATGCTAAACCTTCCAGAACATTCTGAAATGCACAAGTATCTTTTGCTTTATTATATGCAGTTTAACAACTGTATTTGCCTTCAACATCCATGTTCTATTCCAAATAAACAGTTTTCCTAAAACTCCTTGCTCTGGAGTGTGCCTACTTAAGCTCTGATTTCTTTGTGCCAAACAGAACTGCAGTTTGGTCTTTGGTTTTCTGAAAAACCTTAAACCTAGTTTAAATTCTAGTATCATGGATTGATAAATTCTGAAACACAAAACAAGAAGTATTCCCAACATATGCCAATGATAAAGTTTGGGTAATGTTGTTTGGTCAGCAGGGTTGTAACTAAAATTCCTTCTGGGAGGCATAAACAATGTCTGCCCCCCACCCCTTGGTCCCTATGACATACCGAGATATAATTTCTCTAACTACAGTCTGTAAAGCCAGTGAATTTATTGGGCTTACTTACAGAGCAATGGGTGAGGGTTTACTTACAGGAGTGTGCAGTGCTTGGCACTGGAAATTCTTTATCCAAACATGGATTCTGACTTCCCCACAGTCACACAAAATGGCGAGAGACCCTCACCGTGGCTTCCTCAGTTTATACATACTTAGCCTCTAGCCCTGGTACAACTGCCCCTCCTTTCTTGTGGAACATAATAATCAACAAGCTTAACTGTGATGATCCTAGGCAAGGAGGTGTAACCAAGCTTGGGAAGATGGCCATCTGTCCCTGGTCTCTGTCTACTGGAGGACAGTCCTATGCACCAAGGGCTATAAACCATCAGTGTGAACTAACCTAGTGTCTGCCTATTGAATATCAGCATAGCTTCTTTCTTTCATGACCTTTAAATATCTTGTTTCAAAATTATTAAAATTACCAAAAGTTCTTTGAAAAGCATATAAAATCCAAGTAAGAACTTAATGAAAAATGGAATTCAAATAAATGTATGACATGTGTCTTCTATGATGTGCCTTCTCTCCCTGGCAGGCAAAAAAAGTTGCTGTAACCACAGTGAGTCAAATTCTGGATGCCAGTGAAAATGTTTTTCAAGGAGCTGCTGAGATTGATAGTAACTCCTTTGCCACGTAAGCACAATTACAGTTTGGAAAGAAATCTCAATGGAGTGGTATTTACCTTTCTAGGCTAAAGCATAAATAGAGGTTTTGTGTTTCTTGGAAGGCTACAGTAACTGGCTGATGCCTTGGGAATTCAGAGAGAGCCCTTGGCTTCCCACTTGATTTTGTTCCTACATGGTGGGGTATATGCTTGGTTCCGTGGGTGGTCATGGGCTAGGAGACAAAGTAACTGGGATGATTCCGAGTAGAACTTGTTCCCCTAACCTTTGTTTGGTATGGTCAAAGTGGAAACCTCCATACAAAAAAAAAAAAGGAGCTTTTCCAACTCCTTCCTTAATGCACAGAACAGCAGAGAAAAGCTGACTTTGCATGACATACCACAGTCAACCTCTAACACACACCTCAGTTCCCTCTTCTCAAGACCCTGGTGTGTCTTGATTATGCTTTAATTTTCCTATGGCTAGTTCCATAAAGAATAAGAAATCCACCTCTCCTTGTTTTCTCTTCTTGACTCTTATGTTCTCCATGACTTTGGATTGTATGTTTACATAAAAATCATATTCTTTATTCACAGAGTCCCCTTGTTAGAATTCACTGTTTTAAAACCCTTTATACATTTAAATAGAAAATAAGAAAATAATGAGAAAGTTCATTAAAATTATTTTACTTTTATTAATCTGAGCATGCACTCCAAATATTTTTTCTGTTTTTGTGCATGTATATATTTATGTATATATACAGATGTATAAACATTAATTTATAACTTTTTGTCATAATACCTTAAAAACTTTTAAAGCTATAAATAAATATCTATATATGTAATAACCATAATTTTGGATTATTTCATTATTTATTAGGGTTCTCTAGAGGAACAGATAGGATGAATATATATTACAAAAAGGGGTTTTATTAGATTAGCTTGCATCATGGTGGGATAGACTAACAATAGGCAGTCTAACAATCTTCACACTGGAGAGAACTCAGTAGCTGCTCAGTCCATGAGGGTGATGCCTCAGCAGTCCCCATGTGGTAACTGAAGACCTGGAGGATTCCTGGAGAACTGCTGGTCTGCAGTCCAAATTGGAGCCCCATGAAGCTGGGCTCTGATGTCAGTGAAAGAAAGCAGTAGCAACCATGGGGTAGATGCAAGATAAGGAGGACAAACAGGCCACCCTGCTCTTCACTCAGGCCTCTTGATAGCTGGGCCATCTTCAGAAGGTGCTATGCACTCTGGGGAAGTTCTTGCCTTTCAATTAATCCTTCCTGGAAATACCTTCACAGGCCCTCACTGAGGCACATCTTTTAGATGATTCCACATCCAATCAAGTTGACAATTGAGATTAACTATAGGGCCAGTAAGATGCAACAATTGCCATCAAGTCTGACAACCTGAGTTCAATCTCTGGGTCCCACATGGTAGAAGGAGAGAACTGACTCCCACAAGTTGTCCTCTGACCTCCATATGTACACCATGGCATGTGCATACCCCATGTGCGCACACATACACACACAGAAATAATTAAATAAATGTAAAAAAATTAACTATCACAGTGAGTGAGCTTTTACCTAATCAAGACTG